CCACCCAGTATACATTATACTTTTCTACTGCTAAGCTTTTTATTACACATCATTCCTTGTAGTGCCTACCTTCTCTCTTTCTGCTATACATTTATCAATGCTTAGACAAAGTCCTCTTCCACATTATAATTTCATATACAACTCCAGCCTTCACCAAATCTCCCTCTTATTCAAAACCACATGGCAATGTCTGAGTTACTGTTCTGGATTACAACTTACCACTTCATTAATTCATACCTTGTCTTCTTAATACATCAGTATAATTTATTTTTACCCACAGTGCCTAGCACAATCCAAAGCAGAAAGTAAAATATTTGTTAAATTAGCTTAATGTTTTCTAACAAATTTTGGAATTTCCAGATAGAATGACTACAAAACCTATGAGGGGCTAAAAGTGTTTCCAAAAGTTTACTTTCAGGAGTTAGCCACTGGAAAAATAGATTCACAAAACTAAAATGAGTCTAAGACAGACAGTAGAAGGCTACATGTCAAAAATTGTGTGTATGTGAAAAATCTGAAAGTAGAGTACTGCAATGGTCATTATCAAAATCATTAATGAACTCTCATTTCCTAAATTCAACATTCTAATTTCTATTGAGTTTTAATTAACACCCTTTCTATTAGATTGTCTGCAAAGTGTACTGTAATAATTCCTTCCATCTCACAGCACCCTTTGCCACGTGACTTGGCTGTTCCTTCCATCATGAGGGGAAATTTATTTCCATATCCTTTGAGTTAGGACCAGACTTCTGACAAATTTTGACAACAGACTATGACAACAGTGACACTGTGCAAATTCTTTCCCCTCTTCTCTTATGCATTTTTTATGCAATTAACCATTTTCAAGTGTTCAGTTAAGTGGCATTATTTACACTCACACTTTCATACAAGCATCACTACCATCCACTTCTGGAACGATTTTTGTCTTGCAAAACGGAAACTGTGCACCTATTAAACAATAACTCCCTATTTCCTGCCCGTGAGAACCAACATTTTATTTTCCATCTCGATGAATTTGACTATTATAGGTAACTCATATAAGTAGAATGATATAGCATTTGTCCTTTTGTGACCTGGCTTATTTCACTTAGCATAATGTCTTCAGTGTTCATCCATGTTGTAGCATATTGCACAATTTCTTTCCTGAGGCTGAATAATATTCCATTTCATGTATTACAACATTTTTTTTTATCCTTTCATCCATCAATGGACACTTGGGTTGCTTCTACCTTTTTGTCATTATGAATAACGCTGCCATGCAAATGGGTGTACAACTATCTCTTTGAGACCCTGCTTTCAATTCTTTGGTACATACCTAGAGGTAGAATTGCTGGATTATATGATAACCCTGTATTAGTTTTTTTTGAGGAGCCACCATATTGCTTTCCATAGTGACTACAACATACTTCCACCAGCAGGTGCACAAGGAAAGGTTCCAATTTCTCTACATCTTCCGCAACACTTGTTATTTTCTCTGTTTGTTTTTTGATAATAGTCATTTGAATGGGTGTGTGGTATCTAATTGTGGTTTTGATATGCCTTTCTCTAATGATTAATGATAATTATTGAAGCTTTTCACGTACTTATTAGCCATGTTTATCTTCTTTGGAAGAATATCTATTTAAGTCATTTGCCCCCCTTCCCCTTTTTTTTTTTCTGAGACAGAGTCTTGCTCTGTCGCCCAGGCTGGAGTGCAATGGCGTGATCTCGGCTCACTGCAACCGCCGTCTCCTGGGTTCAAGTGATTCTCCTGCCTCAGCCTCCCAAGTAGCTGGGATTACAGGCATGTGTCACCACGTCCTAGCTAATTTTGTATTTTTAGTACAGGTGGGGTTTCACCTTGTTGGTCAGGCTGGTCTCGAACTGCTGACCTCAGGTGATCCACCCACCTCAGCCTCCCAAAGTGCTGGGATTACAGGCATGAGCCACCATGCCCAGCCCCTTTGCTCATTTCTGAAATGGATTGTTTGGGGTTTTTTTGTTGCTGTTGAGTTGTAGGAGTTCATTATACATTATGAATATTAACCTGTTATCACATATATGATTTACAAATATTTTCTATCATTTCATTGGTGGCCCTCCACTCTGTTGATAGTGTCTTGTGATGAACTCAAGTTTTCCATTTTGATGTAGTCCAATTTATCTATTTTTTTGTTACTTGTTTTTAGTGTCATAGCCTAGAAATCACTGCCAAATCCAAAGTCATGAAGTTTTTCTCATATGTATTTCCTAGTAATTTTTTAGTTTTAGTTCTTACTGTAAGATCTTTGGCCCATTTTGAACTAATTTTTGTATATGGTGTAAAGTAAGACTCCAACTTCACTCTTTTGCATGTGGATATCCAGTTTTCCCAGCACGATTCATTGATATGCCTCTTCTTTACCCCCAATGAATGGTCTTAGGACCCTTGTCGAAAATCATTTGACCATAGATGTGAAAAGTTTACTTCTCAGCTCTCTATTCCATTGGTCTACATGTGTCTTTCTGACAGTACCACACTGTTTTGATTTCAATAGCTTGGTAGTAAGTTTTGAAATCAGGAAACATGAGATCTTCAATTTTGTTTTTCTTTTTCAAGATTGTTTTGACTAATTAGGGTCCCTTGAGAATCCATATGAATTTTAGGATGAGTTTTTTCTACTTTTGCAAAAAATATCATTAGGATTTTGACAGAGATAACAATGAATCTGTAGATCGGTTTAGGCAATATAAACATCCTAACAATATTAAAGCTTATGATCTATGAATATGTCTTTTCATGTATTGATGTCTAATTTCTTTCACCCATATTTTTGCAGTTTTCAGTGTACAAGTCTTTTACCTACTTGGTTATTCTTAAGTATCTCATTCTTTTTGATGCTATTATCAATGGACACTGTGCAGATTCTAAGTTGACGTCAAGAGGCCTTACAACCTTGTTTTCACCTTCTTGGAAGGCTACTATGGCCACGTAAAAACCCCAGGCTTGCCTGATGAGATCATATGACCTAGTCAATAGTCAGCACAATTGCCAACACATTTGTGAAGTAACTTTAGAGAGACTGTTCAGCCCCATTCAAGCCAGTAGATGACCGCAGTCACTTAAGAAACCCCAGGTGAGCCCAGCAGAAGACACACTTAGATAAACCTAGACAAACTATTAACCCAAAAAATTGTGGTTTTGATGAAAGTAAAATAGTTGTTATTTTAAGTCATTAAATTTTGGGGTGGTAGAAAGATTAACTGAAGCAAAATTAAATCATTTTATTTGCCATTTTTTAACCGTGATAATTTATTCATTACTTTGTAGCTCATTTCAAACTGTTTCTCAGAGACCATTAAGATGTATTCCACACTATTCAGCCATAAAAAAGAATAAAATCTTATCTGTTGAAGCAACATGGATGGAACTGGAGGCTATTATCTTAAGTGAAACAGAAACCGCAAAGTCAAATACTACATGTTCTCATGTATAAGTACGAGCTAACTAATGTGTACACAGGAACACAGAGTGTGGAATAATAGACAATGGAAAGTTGGAAGGGTGAGACGGCAAGAAGGGAGTCAGGGATGAGAAATTACCTAAAGTGTACAAAGCACATTATTTGGGTAATGGTTACACTAAAAGCCCAGACTTCACCACGATGCACTATATCCATGTAAATTTAAAAAACAGCACTTGTAAATTTAAAAAACCTTTAAATTTATGCCAAAAAAAAAAAAAAAAGATTTATTCCAACTGACACAAGACAGAACTCTTTGAGGTTAAATACTCTACATTATTCATTATATTCATGAATAATTTAAAGCTTAAATGTCAGCATTCTAAATAATTCATAATTTTTAAAAAGTAGATAGCTTAAAATGAAATCTTATTAGGACTAAAGACATACTGATTTTATTTTTCTAATTGCTTACTATGATATTGAAAAAAATATTAAGTAGACATTGCAATGATGTTTGCAGGCTAACCTGTGAATTATACTGCTAATATTTGCTAGCAATTAGTACTAAATTTATTGGGGACAGATTTTGAAACTTTATTATCTGATTATTTAAAAACTCAATCACAATATTGAGGAAAAAAGTACTTAAAATATTTATAATTGCAAAGCATTTGGAGTCATGTTGTCTAAGCAAAATGGTTTAATATTACTTAAAAATTCTTAAATTTAAAAAATGTATATATATTTACATATATCTAAAATTGTATTTACGTATACATACATTTATTAATAAAACTACAAAGAATTATAAAGTTATTTTGTTTGGAAAAAATCTTCTAGAACACTATGCAAAAGTAACATTATTATTTAAAATGTTCTTAAGTAAAAATTTACTCCACAAAATTTTCACTCCATTAAATAACTCATTTTGAGAATTTACTCTCTCAAGTTCTGGAAACAGTTACTTTAAAATAATTTACCTATATTTTATGCATTCTTTAAAAGAAGTAAGAAGAACCAGGGTAGAAGAAATAAAGAGAAAATGTAACAAAATAGGCGATAAGGCAGTTTTATATGGAAGTTTATATGCTCCTAGGTACAGAATAGGACTATTATTTCTGAGAAACCAACTGGAATTAACACTTATTCAAATAGAAACCAACTCATATACTTTCAAAATTGAAGCAGATTCTCAAACTATGTCATAAATACCTTTGCATCATTAATTTTGGCAACTGAGTTTACTGACTGTCAGAAGTATCTCATATTTGCATTATTGAAAACATCTTTCAAAATAGTAGTCATTTTAGTTTTAAGGAGTCCTGAATATTTGTCTAAATTTGAGCTATGATTTATTTAACTATAAAAAAGTATTTTCTGCAAGTACGTTTCTATAAGCAAGCTACAGCTTCACAATTCCTCTACCCACGTATATGGCTGTAAAATGAATATTAACATATGGTCTATAATTGTATATACATACACACAGTTCACATACATATGAACTATGCTTCTCAATTTGATGGTAAAATATAGAAGGAGAAAACATAAATGGAAGGATTAAAATGTACTTACAAAGTCAAAGTCTCCATCTTGAGGAACTTTCCAGTTATCAGGAAAAACGTTTTTGGACAAAGGGAAGGGTTCATGCATGTTCTGATTACAGTTTTCGTGACTCTTATTCTTGAAGTCTTGCTTATCAAAGTAGTCCATGAAAGATGGTCTTTGTACTTGTGGTGAGGTTGCATTTCCTTAGGTAAACAAAGAACATAAGGAAGGTATAAGTTCTTACATTTAAGGAAGTATTTTCATTGAAGTATGATTTTTTATGAAGCCATATAATAAATTTGCACTGGTCAGATTCAAGGCCAACAAAATTAATTTCATAAAGAACAAAGTGAAATAAGAATTTAAAAATACCCAGACCAAATAAAAATTAAGCTGATGATTAGGCAAAGGTCTGGAATGTTTAGATTGTAGAAACACTTCAGAAGTCTAGTAGAATCATTATCGTAATTTTATTAAAAATCATTTCAGTTGTATTTCAAATTTCTCAAAGAAAGTAAAGTTTAAAAACTCAAGTGTTTTTGCTGGACTTTTTTTCTTTGCATTTAAGCCTGCATTGCTATTGTTATCGTACATTTTCAGCTGTAAGAAATTATGAGGACTTGGCTAGGCATGGTGGCGCATTGCCCGTAACCTCAGAACTTTGGGAGGCTAAGGTGGAAGGGATGCTTGAGCCCAGGAGCTCAAGACCAGCCTGAACAACATAGCGAGACGCTGTCTCTATGAAAAATACAAAAAATTAGCCAGGTGTGGTGGCACCTATCTGTAGTCCCAGCCACTTCGGCGGCAGAGGTTGGGAGGGTCACTTGAGCCTGGGAGGTCAAGGCTGCAGTGAGTCATGATTGTGCCACGCACTTCAGCCTGGGCAACAGAGCAAGACCCTGTTCAAAAAAAAAAAAAAAAATATATATATATATATATATACTTTTAAAAAATTAAAAAAGAAATTATAAGGACTTACTCAGTTTCCTCTTATATCTATCAAACTGCTTCCTCAGTGTTTCTGATTCCCTCTGCCCCTGGCTGGACTCCCACAGCTTCGCCTGCCAAACTTACATCCATGTCTCCCAACACTACTTCTCTAGCCCAGACCTTGCTCCAAAGTTCCATATCTAACTTTGCTTGCTATTAGATAACTTAATCTGAGGTGAGCTGTCAATTAATTTACCAGTTCTAAAACTAAATTCAAGATCTTTCCCTTCAAACCTACAGCTCCCCTGACATATTCTATCTCCACTAAAGTCAACCTTATTTACTCAATCCCCAAAAATAATAAAGTTGAGAATTAACTCAGACTCCTCCCTTCCCACCACAGCAAACTGATCATTAGGTCTTTTAATTCTACTTCTCAATACAGTTAACCATAACCCCTTTTCTCTACTTATCATTGCAACTGTCTTAGTTTAGCTTCTAATCATTTCTTGCTTAGGCCATTGTAGCAGCCTCCAAACTCGTCTCCTTGCTTCCAATATCACAGTTTTGATTTTAATTTCTGTCAACGTGGTGACCCCTCTAAATACGAACCAAACCATGTCATTCTCCTCAGCATCTTTCAATGGCTCTTCATTTTTTATAGTGAATGACTAAATAGGAAATAAATATTTGGAATAACTAGATTTTTAATCTGGCTATACTGGTCTTGATTGGTGGTTTTCAAATTGGATTCCTTAAAGCCCCAGGGCTCCAAATAAATGTCCCAGAGACCACCAAGAAGGCATTTCCCATATAATTCTCCAAATAGAAAGTAAATTGCTTTCTTTTTTCTTTTTGAGATGGAGTCTTGCTCTTGTTGTGCAGGCTGGAGTGCAATGGCATGATCTCAGCTCACCACAACCTCCGCCTCCTAAGTTTAAGCAATTCTCCTGCCTCAGCCTCCCAAGTAGCTGGGATTGCGGGCACGTGCCACCATGCCTGTCTAATTTTGTATTTTTAGTAGAGATGGGGTTTCTCCATGTTGGTCAGGCAGTAAACTAGTTTCTTAAAAATTTTTGGTGGGAGTGCACCTCCCCACAAGGGGCCCTGCTGGGCAACTGTAAGTTACAAAAAGTATTTTTAAAATGTAAAATTGAAATCTTTCCTTCTGTAATTTACACTCATGTTCCAAAGAAATTCCTCTTTCATATAATTGTCCCTCAAATATCTGAAGACAGAGGTAATGGCTCCTGTCTTGGCTGTCTATTTTTAATATAAAACATCCCCATTTCCTTTCATAGGATATATGTTTCAGATTCATCACCAACTTGTTTACTTGCCTATGGAGACATTCTAGTCTCACTGTTCCTCTAAAAAGAGACATAATATTCATAACTGTCGTCTGATCAACCTAGATTGCATTTGTAATAGTCCTGGCACAGTTTAAAACTACAGTTACTACTATGACCACTAAGTAACACTGTTAGTTGGGATGAGCTTTAGGGTCATTTTGGTCAAAAGAATGCATGCTAAGACTTATTTTTAGTCTTTAAAAATATGAGGAAAGCCTAAATCGATGCCTAGTTTATGTGGCAAATCAGAGAGTCTGGAATTCTTAAACAAACTCCAAAAAACAAAAGGGTGGGGTGAGGGAGACAGAACTGACAGGTAAGCATCCTATCTCCTCTTTCCTTTCTCCCTACTTTTGGATCTCTATGTGCGTTATTTGACAGATTGGGAACCTAGGTGAGACGGCTTAGGTGAGGATACAAGAGAGAGTGGTAATGGTGATATTTATTCATTAAAAAAATTCTGTCTCATTGCCTTAAAATAAAATGGTTTGCCATATCAAAACTAAGGTTTTACTGACTTCACCTTATGTGTTTAAAAAAATTTTTTTAAGATAAAATTTACCATCTTACTTCTGGGTATATATCTGGAATTGAAAGCCAGGTCTTGAAGAGATATCTGTATCCCCATGTCTATTGCAGCATTATTCATAATAGCTAACACATGGAAGCAAGCCAAGTGCCCATTTGCAGAGGAATGGATAAGCAAATTGCGAGGAAGGAAATTCTGACACATGCTACAACATGGATGAACCTTGAGGACATTATGCTATGTGAAGTAAGCTAGTAACAAAAGAACAAAATACTGTATGATTCCACTTATGTCAGGTACTTAGAGTAGTCAACATCATAGAGACAGAAAACAGAATGGTGGTTACTAGGGAATAAGAGGAGAGGGAAATGGGGAGTTAGTGTTTAATGGGTACAGAAGTTGAGTTTTACAAGATGAAAAGAGTTATGGAAATTGATGGTGGTGATGGCTGCACAACTTTATGGAAGTGCTTAAGATTAATACCACTGAACTAGATGCAGGCATATTTTGCAGTTATTGCAGGTTTGGTTCCAGACCACTGCAATGAGAGTATCGCAATAATGTAAGTCACATAAATTTTTTGGTTTCCCAGTGCACATAAAAGTTATGTTTGTTTGATTGCTTGCTTTCACAACGTCAATTTTCTTAAAGAAATTTTTTTTTAACTTTTAAGGTCAGGGGTATACGTGCAGGTTTGTTACACAGGTAAACTTGTGTCATGGGGGTTTGTTGTACAGATTATTTCATCATCCAGGTGTCAAGCCTAGTACTCATTTGTTGTTTTTTCTGATCCTCTCCCTCCTCCCAGCCTCCACTCTCTGAAAAGCCCCAGTGTATGTTGTTCCCCAGATGTGTCCATGTGTTCTCAACATTTAGCTTCCACTTGTAAGTGAGAACATGCAGTATTTGGTTTTCTAAAAGTTATGTTTAGGAGTGACATCAGATAGATGGCTGACAAGAGAGGCCTGGTGCTAGTCCACTCTCAACAAAAAAAGACCAAGGCACCAGATAAACAGCTAAGATTTGACTGGAGTGTCAGTGGGAGAACCCTGGAGAATAACGAGAGAGTGCAGAGGCACCTGTGCTGCTTAGAAGTTCAGTTTGGGGTGGCTGTAGAGTTTCTTAAATAATACCACAGTGAAGTTTGCAGTATCAGTTAACTCTTCCTTTCACAAAAGAGTTCTCTGTAGCATGAGATGCTGTTTCATAACATTTTACCCACAGCAGAGCGTCTTTCAAAATTGTAGTCAATCCTTTCAAACTCTACCACTGCTTTATCAACTAAATTTATGGAAAATTCTAAGTCCTTTATTGTCATTTCAACAATGTTCACAGCATCTTCACAAGGAGGAGATTCTATCTCAAGAAACCACTTTCTTTGCTCATCCACAAGAAGCAACTCTTCATCGGTTCAAGTTTAATAATGAGATTGCAGCGATTCAGTCACATCTTCAGGTTGTACTTCCAAGTCTAGTTCTTTCACTATTTCCATCACACTTGCAGTTACTTCCTCCACTGAAGTCTTTAACCCCTTAAAATCATCCATGACGGTTGGAATGGACTTCTTCCAAACTCCTGTTAATGCTGATCTTTTTACCTCTTCCTATGAATCACAAATGTTCTTAATAATATGAAGAATGGTGAATCCTTTCCAGAAGGTTTTCAACTTACTTGGCCCAGATCCATCAGAGCAATCACTATTTATGGCAGATATTGCCTTATAAAACGTATTTCTTAATAATAAGACTTGAAAGTCTAAAATACTCCTGGATCTATGAGCTACAAAATGGATGTTGTGTTAGCAGGCATGAAAACAACACTAATTGCCTTGCATACTTCCATCAGAGCCCTTGGGTGACCAGGTGCATTCTCACTGAGCAGTAACAGTCCAAAGATAGTATTTTTTTCTCAGCAGTAGGTCTCAACAGTAGGCTTAAAATATTCAGCAAACCATGGTGTAAACAAATGTGCTGCCATCCAGGCTTCATTATTCCATTTACAGAACACAGGCACAACAGAATTAGCATAATTTTTAAGGGCCCTAGGATTTTCAAAATGGTAAATGAACATTGGTTTTAACTTAATCTCCACCACCAGCCTGTCCTTTGAAGCTCAGAAGCCAGGCATTGACTTCTCCTCTGTAGCTAGGAAAGTCTTAGATGACATCTTCCAATAGAAGACTTTTTCTTCTATATTGAAATTATGTTGTTTAGTGTAGCCACCTTAATCAATTATCTTAGCTACATCTTCTGGATAACTTGCTGCAGCTTCTACACCAGTACTTGCTGTTTCACTTTGTACTTTTATGGTACGGAGATAGCTTCTTTCCTTAAATGTCATGAACCAACCTATGCTAGCTTCAAACTTTTCTTCTGCAGCTTCCTCACCTCTT